AGAACCTGCTTTGTGCTCAGAGTAGAAAAACGCTATAGAATCCATCTAATCTTTACTGGTCCTGAGTAGAGGCACTACACTGTATTGATGTAGCAAAATGACTGGATAGTTCAACCGTTGTAAAGAGGTTGGAGTGTAACATGTCTCTTAAAAGTATTAAATTGCCACACAGATTTCTGTGCGGTCCTTTAAGTAGGGAGTGTTTCCACTGATGAGACTGTAACCTAACAAAAGTCAGAGAAGTGATCAGAGCAGAGTGACTGAAATCTGATTCCCATTCAAATCAAACATTTTACTGTCTAAGATGTTCATATTTGTCATCGCGTTTCTCTCTGGATGAGATTCACCTGGTTTACCTGCTGAGCTTCCGGCTGTTCCTTCATGTGTTCTTCCTCCTGCTGTTTGACCACTGGAAGCTGAAAATAAACATCATTTTTAAACAAGTATATTTGCTCTCAGACCGTAGAGTTAGAATGGAAGTAGAATAGAAGGCAGAGCCTTCAGCTTTCAGGCCCCTCTTCTGTGAAACCCTGTTTATTTTTAAGATTAGGCTTAAAACTTTCCTCTTTGATAATGGATATAGTCAGGTGAGCCTGACTGCTAGTTATGTTATAATAGCCTCAGATTGCTGGGGGCTTCCCATGATGCAGTTTCTGGGATTTGACGTTGAGTGTTTTTTCTAATGATAACTGTCAGGGTGTACAGCAGGCTCTGAGAAAAACAGTAAACCGTCATGAATTTTCAGCTCTTACTTATTTTGTTTCGTGAACCTTAGTTTAACAACTAAATGTCAGAGAAGCTCTGTTTTCTATGACTACACAAGGTCCCAAAGCCAAAAGCCTAACACAGAACACAGAAATATCAGTAATATTTCAATCAAATAAGAGAATGTCTCTCAATAAAGTTGGGATAGACTCTGATAAGCTATCAGCATTCTGTACTTTTCTCTAACATCTTCAAGAAACTATACATTTAGCTGAACTTACCACTTAGATCCTGAATGTCAGAGGAGACACCTGCAGAGAAAATACACCTGAGTCAAACCACGCATGTCACCAAAAACTCATCTTCATGTTTTCTTGCTGAAAAACACATTTATAATCTTTACTTCCATAAAAAAGAAGCACGATTTTATCATCAAACATTTACATTTCTTCCTCAATATTCGCTTGTGTGAAATACAAAAACTAAATATTATTTTTCAGTACTTTCTAACATAATGGTGATTTCATATTTCTTTTAAAAATGAACAGGCTGGGAGTGCTAGTTTGGCTCAATGCATGGAGCGGGCAACCACATGCCATACTACTGAGAGCTGGCCTGGGTTTGAGTCCGACCCGCGGCCACATGCCTTCTTCCTTCTCTCTCTGCTCCTGCCTTCCTGTCTTCTCTTCACTGTGTTTATCAAATAAAGCTAAAAAATGAACAGGCAGTAGATTATTACAGTTAGCTGAAATTAGACTGTACACAGCTACATGTGAATATAAGAAACACAAACTAAGAGTTTTAGTCTCTCAAAGACTGCAGAGACTTCACTGCTTGTGTTTAGTAACATATTTGCTACTTTTGCTTTTGCAGAGTTTGTCCTGTACGTGATGCCGTGGTTCTGGACATCCTGCAGTAACCTGAGGAGCTCAGGAAGTGGACTAGACCCATTCAGGGTAATCCTGGTCTGAAAAGCAGCCAGTTAATCTGGATTAAACCTGAGACCAGTTGGAACAAACAAAAAAACTATTCAGGAAGGAAAAACCTGATCAGGTCTACTCACCTGAACCCCCAGCAGCCCCCACTGCCACCACCGTTGCCGTGGTGGTCCGCTGCCCACCAAATGCTCCTGCAGGAGGGGGAGGAGCAAACTGTCAGGTCTTCGGCATGAATGAAGCTTGTGTTTCCAGATATTATTATAAACCTAAAGGCATCATTTGAGATTCATTCTGTGACACATTTAGATAAGACTGAAAAACATATATTACACACAGATTTTTAAAGAGATGTTTATAAGGTTCTCACGTCACGTTCATTTAAACAACAGTCTGATGTTTGAACTTTTCATTTCTTTGTGTTTATGCAGGTTTATAAGATAAAACTACAGGGCAAAGGTCACAGTGTGTTTTGCCTCTCACCCTCAATCTTATCTTGACTCTTGGAGTCATCATCATCTGGAAAGAGAAGACATCCAACATTTATGTCTAATTAGAAGTTTTAAACAAATGTCACACTTCTCTGTTTTAGCGTCTTTTTATTTCTGCTCTGACTTTTGACCTCTGACTCCTTCTACCTTTCCCCTATGCGCGTATGTCACCTAGCTTAGCATTAACACATGTGCTGCACTCACTGCTTCACGAAGATTTATGATTTCTAATATTTCATTTACTGGACAGAGGCCACGCATCCTACAGGAGTTACACTGAAATTAATTCAGTCAAACACAAACAAATTAACAATAAACAAAGAAAACCTATATTATCTTGACCCGGATGTAGTGATTTGTGTCAGTAAAAACATTTTAGTACACAAATGAGAGATAGGTGATGTTCTGAGGACTGAGTACTGTGAAAAAGCTGTTGGATTTTGTCATTTTTCCCTCAAAAACAGCAAACACCACCTTCTCCAAACCTTCACTGTCAGCCCTACAGTCTCACACCCACTCTACTTTATACAGGGACCCGAAGAGGGGTCATTGAGAATGTCTCACACACATTTACTCACCCAAACAAACCCCAAGAACCAACACCAGGTAATATTTGGCAAACACTGATTACCTAAGGTTATGTCATGGTTATATAGTGTTTCATTAAGAGAAAGAATCTCACTGCCTGAAGAGTTATTTTAAAAAGCTTTGTGACTGAAATGTGTGACATGTTTGTGTCTTTATGTTAAGTTTAAACCGGTTTGAAAAGATCACAGACGATGATGCTGTTGTCCACTCTGAGGTTTGTGTGAGGGTCAGGTTCCATTCGTGTGACCTCAGTTTGGTTTCATTTTGTCATCAGTATAAACTCTGAGTTTATGCTTCATGAACAATTTGACACGAATCTGCTTTTCACGATAAAAGCTGGCTTCTCTCACACACACAAGGCCTACCCTCCTCCTCCTCGGACACCTCCCCCTCCTCTGTGGCCTCAACCTCCACCTCCTCCAGCTCCTTCTCTGGAAGACACACAGAAAGTCTTCTCTCCAAACAGAAATAATAAAATGAAATAAGATACAAAACATAGCTTCTCTTTTTTTACCCTCCAAGGGAGCGGTAGAAACTGCTGTTGTCAAAAAGACGGCCATGGACATGATCAATAGATTTCTGTTGTGACAGAGGAGATTAATCAGTACTGACCAACACTGTCAGAATCAGCCTCACATACACTCATCAATAAGATACGGGGACAATAAAATAATCAGCACCAATAAACCTCATCAATGATCATTAGTAATGAGTTCATTTCTGCTGAAATCAATCAATACACAAACCGCTGTCAATATAATCAATACCATCACCACGTGGAATGAGGATGGCTGAACTCTGATTGGATCAAAAAACAAGAAACTTTTTTAGTGATCTGATTGGACAAATGAGCTGACAGTCAAAAACAGTCAGTAATAATCTGCATCCAGTCAGGATGAAGTAATACCAATGATTTCATGAAGCACAGCAGAACTGCAAAAGTACTAAAGTATTACAACACCGACATGCAGCAGTGTTTGTTGTATAGTGCAGTTATAGTAGCACTAGCACAAGTCATATGAGTAACAGCAGTCTTCACAGTATAAAGTGTATTATTATTAGTAGTTGTAATAGTAGACTATTAATACTACTGCAGTAAAAATGCGGTGGTATTATTAGTGTTAGCAGTATAATGGTTGTGGCAATAGAAGCAGTTTAAAATGCAGTAGCATTAGTAGTTTTAGCAATGTTAAGTGCATTATTATTATTATTATTAATATTATTAATACTATTGTTAGTAGCAGTAGTATCAAAAGTATATAGTGCAGTAGAAACAGTTTTGGTAGTACAAGCACAGGAGGATAACAGTATAACAAGAATAAAATGAAGGAGTAGTCATCAATAGCTTTGTGTAGAGCAGTATTATTATTTTAAAATGCAGTAATATTAGTAGTATCACTCATGCTGGTATCTTTAGCAGTACATAGAGTAACATTTGTAGTAATAGTAGTATTGCAAATACTCACGCTGGCAGCATGTTGCTGTGTAACAGGTGTGTGCTGAGCTAAAGAGACGCACCTGAAGAGCTGCAGCTCCTCCTTCAAACACTCGTATTTATACTCAGGCAGGAAGGGAGGGGCTGCTCATGCTATCTATGAAAATACTGCAAATACGACTGAGACTAAAACTACTAGATCATGTACTGGTTCTTATATGAATGTTACTTTCCTGGTCCTCACTGGCCCTGAAATCCATCCTATTTTGCACTGGAGTAGGGTTCACCAGCAGGTGACCCATCCTAACCAGTTGATGTTCAGGTCTGCCCCTGGAGGTTACCTTAGATTAGACAGGTAGAAATTGTTGCTAACTTCCAGTCAAACATATTGATTACACAATCAAGTGAAAACAAGTGAACTGTAACTACTGTGACTCATGTGACCTGCTGGTCACCTGTTACCTGCAAAACCCACCTTCAAATCACTCCACTACATCTCAGGCTTGTTAGTTACTCTGAAGTCTGTGTTTGTGTTAACTGGCAGCTATAATGAGCCAATCAGAGCTTTGTAGGCAGGGTTAAGAGCAGGAATGACATCATCCAGGGACACACGTCTGATCTGGGAGGATGTGTCATTCAATTTCGGATTCAATTATGAGTAGCTCAAAAAAAAATTACGACTAGCTCTGACATCATGTAGGAATCAAAAGCTGATTGGCCAAACCAGCTAACTTCACCCTGACGCATAATGAACCATTCATCCATCCATTTTCCTCCACATATTCAACTCATGGTGAACCAAAAAAAATTGTTATGAAGGGGGCTTCCACCCTGTCAATGTGTCACAAGGACGACAGAGATTCTGTCGTTAGTGTCTGTGCTTATTGCATCGTAATCATTATTACACAGGAAGCTCCTCTGTTAAAGAGGAGCAGTAAAAACATGCCATGAACTGGATTTTCAGCCTATTGTGGTCATGAACGCAAAACAATAAATTAAAGACATTAAACGGCTTTAAAAAGTCAGGGACCAATGTGCATGTCAAATCATTTTGAAGCAGCTGTGTTTTCTGTTTGTTTTCTATGTACAAATAAAGAAATGATAAAACTTTCCACAACTATAGACACTTTATAAAACCTTAAAGGCCATATAACCGTCAACCCCCCTTCTCCCAGGGTTTCAGCTTTCAACTCTAATTAATTTCTTGGTTAAAACAGACTTGTATTGTTGGACTGAAAGATGAGAGTGGTCTCTCTGCTGCCAAGCTGAGCTGAGACCCCGGCTGACCTGCAGTCTTACAGTTTTTCACCACCTCTAAGACACTTTTCAGAAACCATCCACTCTGTTCTTAAAACTGAACACAAATACAGATTTTGTATTCTGATTCTGAACACAATAGCTTTATCTGTTTTTAAGATCATACAGCCCCCTTTGATTCAAGGCAGAAATGCAGCAGACAAAAAAAGTTTAAAAAGCGAGGTTCAATCTGGTCTCCTCTGTGAGCCCAGCTGTAGTGGAAGTCCCTTTTAATGCAGATTTCTGGAAAAAAGCGGTATTAGTTTTTCACCGATGATAAAGACACATTTTTAGAAACCTTTATACAAATAATATCAGATTTATGAAAGCACATTAAAAACAAAATCTCCTCAAACAAAGAAGCTATCAGCTCAAGCCATACAGAGTCTGTGAGAAACAGACAGACAGTTCTTAAACTGATTTTATATCACTGCATGTTGTTGTCCACAGCATGTCTTTTGTTTTTTCTTCCTCTCCCCCAACTGGTTGTGGGAGATGGCTGCCCCTCCATAGCCTGCTGGAAGTATTTTTTTCTGTTAAAAGGGCATTTTTTTCTTCCCACTGTCGCCAAAGTGCTTCGTTTTAGGGGATCTTATGACTGTTGGGTTTTTCTCTGTATGTATTATAGTAGGGTCTACCTTACAATATAAAGCACCTTGAGGCAACTGTTGAAATGTTGACCTGAGCTTCATCTGAATGACTGAGCCCCTGTCGTCACCACCAAGCCTCAGCCCAGACAAACAGAGCCAATGGCTACGCCATCACAGACCAGTACCTTGTCCATATCACTGCACTTGCCACATGATCTACTTGTTAGTCTCCCGACCCTAAGTTCCTTTAAGTCCTTCAACTGGGGCAGCAAATAATGCCCGACCTAGATTTGGGCATTATCAGGTTTTTCTACAACCAATTACTAGAGGAAAAAAGCAGAGACAAGCTCCTGTGGAGACTCTCCACCATGTAGTTATCCCCAGAAATCCTGTTCATAAAAGTTGTGAGCACACATAGTGGTGGCGTTTCAGTTTCTTCATTTTTTTCTCTATAGAAGTTAGCTTTGTGTTGATGAACACTGTTGGATGATGAAGGAATGCAAGATCTGAAAGTCACATTGCATTTCCTAAGTCACATATAGGCGTACTAAAAATTCTCTAATACCCTGTGTATTTTTAGACATAACTGTTCCCCATGTTTACATGGATTTTATAATATTTGTTCTTCTGATGTGTGCCTATGTCCAGAAGAGTGCATTATAACCACTGAACAGTTAGTCTTGTGTTGAAGAGTACCGACCCTGAAGTCGGAGCTACTCCACAAACAGGGTCTCTGGAAATTACTAGTTCCCACCATGCAGACAAAAAAAAAATGGGGGGGGGGGACTTCCTTCCTGTAAGTCTTATAAGGTCTTGTTCCTCCCATCCAAACAAGCCTATATGAACTATAAGGCTACAGGGGCTCCCTTCTTGGCGCAGAGCACAGCTTTGACCTAACCTTTGATCCTTCCTCACAGGGACCTCTGCAGACCTGTTCACAGAGCATGTCGGAGGAGACAGTGGATGGTGGAAACTGTGGACTATATGAACACTGAAAACCTATCGCTGCAGGGAGGATGTAGGAGTTACCCATCTTCCTTAATGAATCTCATGCACGACAGCCACAGAAACTCTTTACTTCAAACTTCAAACAACATGTTTTCCAAACTGGACTCTGAGTCACTAACTTACAAGATGATACTGGTCCTGATGGAATCTGATAGTCATAATGTGAATAACCTGCTGAGAGATAAGAACTGGATGGATTTCTGTCTGAAATGCTGGAGATCAACTTTCATTTAGAAAGAGAGCAGTTTGTTTTTTCATCTTCTCAGCTTGAAGTCTCTTTCTGTGTTCAGGCTCAGAGGATGTATAGAAAGGAGGCTTTATTGAAGCGATACAGAGCTGCAGAGAAAAGCTGCCAACATTCCTTCGAACTACATCTGTGACCTTCTCCTCCTCCTCCTGTGAAACTGACTCCATTCATTTATTTTTTTGTGTGCATGAACACAGCAAGACAGTACAAACAAGCCTCATTCCAAAAATGTTGCAGGAAACAGACATCACATCGCCTTATCCTGAAGTGACATAAAGCTGTAACAGTGTAAACTGCTCCCACCTTGTGGAGAAATGACTTCTCGAGCCTGAAAACTACAATTCTGAATAAAAGCAGCAGGACATCTGCAGCTCTTCTAACACTTTCCCACTGAAACATGGAACAACTGGGTCTGCACAATGAAGATATTTGGTAGAGGTCACCGGCAATCCTCTCACATCATGTTTTGCCTTAGTTTCTCTGATTGGGTTCACACTCTGCCAGCCCAAATTCAGGGAATAAAGATAAATATATTAATAATAAAACAGTGGGAAAAGTTAAATTGATCCACAGAGGATCTACTTGTTTAATACTCTGCAAAATTTTTATTTAAACATTCGATTTTGGGATATTTTGCTTCAGTGTATCAAAGTTTTTAAAGGTTCATCCATTTTTTGGATTCTAGGGTCATGGTGGGTGATACCTGTCCCAGCTGTGATAGGGTGAAAGGTGGGGTACACCTGCATAGGCATTGGACTATGACAGGGGTTTCTGTGGAAAAAATATTATTATTATTGTGACTACTATTAATATTTATCATGAAAATCAAATGTATCGGTATTTAAATACTTTTAATAAACTTTAATAAGTCTTCACAA